TTGTATTAGAAAGCTTCTTTAAAAAATAATAAGAAAGCTATCTCAAACGAAGCCTAAATACTATAGGCTGTTATTTAGGTATTTAAGTGTCTTAATGTCATATAAACTTAGCAATCTTAAGCTCTGTGGACTCTGTAGATTCCTCTCATGAGATGCTCCTTTTAAGTCTTACTACATAAGATTTGAAGATCGTTTGGCCATGAAATTAGCTGTGAAGTTTTTTTTAGATGATAGTAAAAAATCCGTACTTGATATATGAATTTTTGAAGATACATCAAGAAATAAATACTTATTTCATGTTGAAATTTATCAATTAATAATTTAAAAAGATTTAGTGATGTTGAAATGTGATTGTTTTAAATAGATAAATCAGTAGTGATTATTGTTCTAAATTTAGAAGGGGATTCATCAGAGCAAAGGTGGCTAAAATAATAAAATTCTTTCACTTAGGCAAATAGTGGCCATTGGATTCCTTCATACAAGTACAGAAACCTAGCAAAAAGAAGCATTCTTTTCAATTAATGTAAAGAAGAAAGCAAAAGATCATTCTGATACAGTGATACCTAATATTGGCATTCCAAAGCTCTGAAAAAAAAAAAATAGAAAAATGACAGTTGACATTATTATTCTCTTTGTTGATAAAGTAAATCTTTTCCTCATTCAAGATGTGAAAGCATGAAGGAATGAAGGTTTGGAGAGGGAGTGAAAGAGAAGGGGGAAAATGTCAGTCTTTGAAGTAGGGAAAAAATGATGTATAGAGATGTGGAAGTAGAATTGTTAAAATGGGTCAACGGGTTGGGTTCGTGTCCAACTCAAAATAGACCTGAACCGAATCCAATCAATCCTTTTTTCACAAAGGTAATATATCTGATTTTATGTGAACAATTCAATAATGAAAAAAAATCACAAGACCTGACCTAGTTACAATAATCAACTAAATAATGAAAGATATATGAATCATCCCTCCTCACAATTGAAGAAGAGATTGAATACAAATAAGAATGTATAGTTATATCCAAACAAGTGGATTAGATGTTAATAGCCAAGCTATAATAGTCGTATGGCGAAAATCTAACACTAATTGTTGATGGTGGTCGTCGACATATATCACCATAAGATATCAACATAAAGTGCAATATATTTCTGTAATATTAAAACAACTTAAAATATACTTCAAATGTTTGATCTGGATTCATTTGTAGTTGGATTAGATCGTTTGTTATTCCAATGGGTTTGTTTGGTCGAGACGTTTAGTCTGATTATAAGTTAGCTGAAATTGGAGTTTAGGTGGTTTTGAATTTAATTAAAGAAGTTTACTATTGGAATATTACGTCGAGATTCATGTTGATCAATTGATTTTTTGGAGATATATCAACTATAAAATATAAGTCTATATTGAAATAATTAATTTAAATTCTCAAAATTTCTAATTCAAATATTGCATAGAGATTTGTGTTGGGTACAACGATTTTTTGTTTTTGTTATGAGGTTGTTTGGTTGGAAGCAAGTTAATGCAAAGTATTTCAAATGCATTACTTTTTCACTTTTTGGTGCTTGGTTGGATGAAAGTCAAATCCAAGGTAAAATAATGTAAATACATTGTATTCCATTCTAGTTTATTTTTGAGGTAAAGTGTTCTTAACTATTTTGTCCGAGAAAGGTTTAAATTGCTCGCTTGCTTACTTCACCACCGCTGATGGTCGCCGACATCCACAACTATCGCCCTCTAGCCAGCAACCCCACTGGCCGCCGCTGTCACCATTGGCCTCGGCAATCGCCGCTAGCCACCACACCACCACCGTAGGTCACTGCCATCTCTGTCGACCATCTCCAAACAAAATAAAAAGGGTAAAATCATGCATTCCGTGAGACATGAGAGGTATTTTTTTTGTAAGTGATGGTGATATATTGGTGTCGTCTCATGAAGACAGTCCAATGATAGATGTTGGGTTGGGTGGCAATGGTCTGGTGATATATTGGTTGGGTGGTGGTGGTCTAATGATGGTGGTTCAACGACAATGGTCAGCCAACGAAGGTCCTATGATGGTGGTCTGGAATGGGTGTTCTAATGACTAAGGTCATGTGACTGGGGTCTAATGATAGAGGTTAGATAGTGATTATTCAACAATTATGGTAGGACGATGGTGGTCTGATGATTGTGGTCGGATAAGGGTCGGACAACAGTGGTGGACCAATGATGGTAGTTGAGCCATGGTCCAAAACGAGTGATATGCAGGAGAGGTTCGACTAATAAAAATTAATATTATTTTAATGATGAATAATAACAACTACGATAAAAATAATACCAATTTTCAAAGATTGAATGAACATGCACTCATCTTATGAAACTGAACTAAAGGTAAATTTCTTGGGGTATCTTTTGTTTTTACCTTATGAGGGTCCAAAGATATTTCTCCTATTCTTCATCCATTCACGTGGAGGATGTATCGAAGTAGACGAGTCGCTTCCATAAATTGCATTTAGGTCATTAATTATCATAATCAAGTTATTTTCAAATGCTAAAACATTTTTCTTGGAGCATATGCATATAAAATTCATAATCATCTTCTTTTATAAAAAAAGACCTGTCGAAGAGTTTTAGCATATTTTGTAATACCTCTTCATGAAGACTTATCTAAAAAAAAAAGACAATCATAAAAATGTAAGGTGTGCATACTCATATTAAAGACAAACGATCATATAAGACGACTACATACAAATATAAGATATAATGACTCATAATAAAGACAAACAAATGCATATTAATAGACAAATAAATAAAATCACATTGAGTTGAAACACAAATTTCACTATTGGAAGTGTTGGGTTTAAGTGTCTGTAGGTGGCGCTCAATCTCTTTAGTGGGCATGCTTTAGGGAATAATCCACTAGCTCAAATATATATAGTACAAGTGCCCAAGAGATTCAAAATGTTTCTTTTTACCATTTATTTATAGGAATCAAAAGGTTATATGAAAAGCTAAATCAATAAACAAATAAACAAGTACATAAGATAATGACGCTCATTATAAATTATTGTAAACACGTGTCAGGACTTGACTGGCTTGGTGGATGATTACTCATCTTAACCATGTTTCTTTGTCTTAGGGAGAGTACCATAGTGTCAAATGCTCAAGGGCAAGAGCTGAGCCAAGAGGGCTATAGTTAACTAACATCTCGAGATCATTAGTGACTTGTGGTGAAGCCCCAAAATGCCTTGGAGTAGGTGGTGAATGCATTTAGCTTATGACGTTGACATGTTCTATGGCCAACTGGCCATGATGGGTAAGTTGCAACCCTCTTCGATAGTTGTTTTGCCTATAGCTGAAATGATGAGTATAGCTAACGACACTCTATTATGGATAGCAATGAGTGGCTACCCCTCAATGGAGGGCCAGTGATGAATCGAGTGATCCAACAGGTCCCTTGATTGTGCTTATGAGGAGCTACTCCCTTCGGAGTCCCCCATTGAGTTAGGTCTTATGGTTCATGTATGAACTCCCTTGTGGGTCCACGAGGTACACGTCCATCCGCTATAATCTGCTAAATACTTGAAAAGATATGTATGAGCAAACGTATAAATGAAACTTCAAAAGTGAATTGTTATTTTTTATATGATAATATTTAAGCTAAAGAAACCATTTTCATTATGACAAAAAATCTTTGTTTTATATTATTGGAAAATCTTAGCTTATTTTTCACATTTTTGCTTCTTCGTTGAGCTGTAATACAAATTAAACTACTGTTCTCCATGTTATCCTTCCTCACTAGAAATATTTTTCTTCGCATTCTCGTTCCCTAGCTATAAATCCCCAACTAAAGCTCCTCTTTTCTAATTTGTCAATAGCTAGTATTCTTCTCTATCACCAAGAAAAATTAACATTTCACAAGTCTAATTTTGATGTACTTAAAAATCGTTAGATTTAACTCATTTTTAAATACACTAAAAGTTCTATGGCATTGCCGCCGCTATAGTAGCCGGCGAACATCACTTTTTGCCCACCACCACGGCGACCATCGCCAACATTGTCGCTGGATGTCGCCTTTGTCGTAGTCATCATCATCAACGCCCATTGCTACTCACCACCCACCATAGATCATTATCATTAAGTTTTATATAGTATTTATCTTACTTTAAATCAAATAAAAAGATCATCTATATTTATTTTATATTCATCCAAATAATTGTAAATATTTCAAATTCATAATATTTTTTGAGGGATTTACATACATACATAACACTTTATTTCACGCTATTTACATATCTAATATTCAAAATTTTAATATTACATCCCTAACACTAATATAAAATTTCAATATCAAATATATCACTCATATATTTAATTCTTACTGCTCATACCACCCTATAAATTTTAATATTTCATTTCATGCGCTCATATTTCTTCTATGAGTGATAGGTATATAATAATAAGGTTTTAAATGTTATGTATGTAAATATCATGAAATAAAGAGGTATGTATGTAAATCCCCCTATTTTTTTATAGAGTATTTCTTTATACTCTTGCATTCAGCCAACCAAACCGGTCTCTAACTTGTTTCCCAGGGCAGTTGAGGCGCGATTCCATTTTTCGATTGAGATGATTACGTGGCAAAATATTAGGCCATCAAGATGTATTTACAAAAGTTTTATATATATATAATTAAATGATATCGTGAATAATTATGGTTACACAACTCACCTTAGCATGTTGGTTGAGAGCTTAGGCTTCCAACTAAGAGGTTTTGAGTTTGAGTCTTTGTGTATGCATTGTGTGTATGAGTTTGCCTTAAATGACTTAAATGTCCAAAAAAAAAATTATGGTTAATTGAAGAAGATCCGAATACTGGAAACGAAACACAAACAGCAATTCAATCGTCAAAACCCCCAACTCCAGATTTCAACCAATTACCATCAAAATCGGCCTTAAATTTGTGAGAAGAGTCCGCCTTCGCGGATGCCTCCGCCCTCGCCGGCCGTCTCCGCCGACAACTTAGTGGATGATGCCGCTGCCGCTGGCCATCTCCACGACACTGAAGCGGAAAAAGTGGACGGAGGAGGAAGAGCGCTCGCTGATCGAAAAGTACGCCGAGATGCAATCGGACGGCATCCTGGCTCGGATGCGCACTCGCGAGAAGAAGTTCCGCCCAATCGCTGCTCACGTTAACGCCGGCCACCACTGCATCGATTCCGTCGCTTACCCCTTCCTGTGGTCATGGAAGGACGCTTCCACCAAGGTCCAGAACATGCGCCATCAGTACCTTCTCGTTAAGCAAAAGCTTTTCTCGTCCTCGACTTCCGCATCCGCCAACGAACCAGATTGGTCCCAGGGCCTTTCTCTCTGGCCCAATTTTCTACGATACCGCGATGTCTTCGGTGACGCGCCTCTGCCTCTCAAACCTCCGGACCCCACTTCCTCCGTGGCCGCCCCCGAGCCTCTTGCCTCCCCGGCCGACGCGGACGGAGATCTTGGCATAGGGTTAGGGTTTGACTGCTCGGATGAAGATGGCGGATTCGACTACGAAGACGCGTCTCACCCTCTTTCGCTGCCTCCGCCTGAGTTGTCGTTCCTTTCCGCGAGGAGAAAGAAGAAGAAACGGAGGAGGAGAGAGGGTCGAGAATGGGCTAGGGTTTCCTTGGCGCTTGCCGAACTTCGAGAAAGGGAGGAGAGGTTGGAGGAGAGGGCTCGGCAGGCCCATGATGAGGAGGAGAAGGAGAGGGAGTCGAGGGGGGTGGAGGAGGTGGAACGACTGCGTCGGCGGGAAGAGGAGGAGAGGGAGTGGGAGGAAAGAATGGAGCATCGGCGTGCAGAGTGGAGGAAGAGGATGGAAGGGATGATGGAACAGCACCGGGCAGAGATGGAACAGATCCAAGCTCGTGTATTGCACGAGCAGCAGGCGGTAGTTAACCAACTGATTGGGATCATCTCCCACTGGGCGGCAGGTGTCAGCGGCAGTGGGATTGGGGATGTTGCTGCGATGGGAGTGGGGAATGGTGCTGGTGCGCAGCATTATATGTCACAGACGATGCAGGGGATGCATCATGTGAACGGGATGGTGCCCGGGGAAAACAGAGTTGGCAGCGACGGGCCAGATGACCAGTTCATTGTTGATGAGTAAGAAGATGTAGGTTGGAGCAGATTGATACAAATCTGTGGATGAATTTGAAGATTTTGAAGTATGTCAGAATCCATGGAGGTTTTGCCCGACCCATTTCTATCTTTTTGATGTCTTCAATCATGTAATTTTTTAACCAGTGTGTTTGTAGCTAGAACTACTATTCTTTTTTTGTCCATAATTCATAAGAATGAAGATTGCAGGTTTGCTGCTGTGGTTTCACCTAGTCTTTCTGTTACAATCTTTAGATTTTGTTGATGCGAAGCAGTTTTTAATGATCAGGGAACATAACCAAGGGGCTTTTATGGAGTTGTAGAGTAGCTCTAGGATTTTTTTTTTTTTGGTGTGACCTTAGGCTTTCCTGTTGTTCCCGTTGCAATTTTTTGTTTTTGATAGTTATGAACTAATTAGGTCCTGAGTTCTTACTAGTGGAATTAAACCCAAACAATCTCAAGAAACCAAACAATCAGAATTTCTTTTTAGATGTGTCGACCTAGGCATTTCAGGTAGGAACATATCCTCATTCTTGAAAGTTATTCAGCTGTTAGCTTAAATCATATAACGGATGAACAATTCATCCCCTAATGTATGACTGGATCAATTTCAACCAACATGATGAGGTTCATTTACGGTCCAGGAAGAAAGATGTTTAGTTGTGTAAAATTTTCTCCGTCCAAGACGAGGAAATTCTATGTTTTATTGATCAGCTTCTTAACAGATTTTAGCCACCAACACTAATTGAAAGATCTCCTAGACTTTCAAAAGAAGGCTGTATTCTGATGAATGAACCTAGAGTTCCAATCTCCAGCTGCTGGATGGCTCAGCAGTCCCGTGCAATTAAGACCAAAGAAAATCGGTAGATGTTTGCTCAAGATCAAGAAAATAATGATTAACGGATGGAAAACAGAGAACCTGGTCAGCAAAGTATCTTCTTAATTCAAGAAGATGTAAATTTTCCTTTTTATTTTAATTAAGTATTGTTCATAGTGATGGTGAAATAGATGGGAATATTACTAGTATAATTCAAGTTGGATGGTTGAAGTGGAGGAATGCATCGGGCGTGTTGTGTGATAGAAAAGTCCCCCTCAAACTTAAGGAAAATTTTTATAAGATGATGGTGAGACCTGCAATGCTTTATGGCGCAGAATGTTGACAATTAAAAGGGAAGCATAATATTAAGTTAAGTTGATGTGAAACTATCATGCAATGAAATGTGAATTGCACATAAAATTAATAGAAGTATTGAATTAAAGTGTGCTTCCCAAAACTTTATGCTCAGTTGGATGGGTGGCTTTACTCTCAGAGATATGATACAAAACGAGCATATATGTGAAAAGGTTGGAGTAGCTCCAATGGAAGATAAGATTAGAGAGTGTCGCCTTAAATGGTTTGGTCATATAAAGCGGAGGCCTTCCTGTTGCAACTCCGGCTTCCGAGTTTATGATTTTGATGATAATAAATAATATTTATTAATCTTTTATTTCTTCTAGTATTTGTAGTGCATATTTTTTTCTATGTTGACTAATATTTCAGGTACACCATACACCGTTCTTTTGAAGTTTGAAGGCTCAAGATTGTGTAGAATTGATTGTATTAAATGAGTCTGTAATTTTCTTTTCTTGAGTAAAGCCTTGTAATGATGTATGTTAGATTAGTGATCATGCACACACAGAGGGAACAAAAAATGTTTTTAAATTTTTTAATTTTTTATGTACATCGTACTATACGATCTAGTGTAACCGAAATTAATTAAAATATTTTATTTTCCTGAAAAAAAATATTTTTAAAATATAACTAATTGTACCGTACGAACACCACATCGTACTGTACGATCTGTTATAATTAGAAAGCCCGCCGTCCATTAAATTAGGCAAAAATTTGAATTTGAAAGTTGTTCTAATTGTACTGTACGAACATTATCGTACTAGACGATGTTTAAAACATTGCCTAATTTAATCCTGTGATTATTCAATCAAAACGACTTAATTTTAATATTTTGATCGTACTGTACAAACTGGCTCGTACTGTACGAACTGGCTCGTTTATTGAACTGTTCGTACAGCACATCATACAGGACATCATACAGTACGAACTTCAATTGAATTGTTCGTACAATACTAACTGGACATCGTATAGTAATAACAGGTTAATTTCTGCACATCGTACTGGACGATCTTGCGATCGTACGGTATGATATTTGATGGCCGAATTAAGTTTTTTTCAGGGTTTTTTTAGCCCTGTATTTAAGCACTCTCATAAGATTTTGTAAGAATCTTTGGCAGCCATTGTGTCTTTATTCTTTTGAAGAAAACTTGAAGAGAGGACTTTAAAGGGAGAGAGGAAAGAGTGGAGTTTGAGAGAGGGAGAAGAACCTTGGAGGGGGTTTCAAGGGAGTGTGAAGGAGATTTTACACGGTTGCTCCAGCGAGCTTGCACCTCAGTACCATCGGATTCAAGGTTCGTCTTGAAGGAAGGTTTGGGAAGAAGAAGATCGCGTTGATGTCAAGGGACCCGCCTCCTTCGCCGCACCGGGGAAGGTGGAAGTGATTGTGTAAGGGCTTCTCCGTCTAGCTGTGGGGAGTGGACGTAGGTCATGGTTTGACCGAACCACTATAAATCGGTGTGTTCTTTCCTTATTATTTCCTCACTTTATTTTCGTATTCATTTTTATTGTGATTAATTGCGTGGGTGAAATTGATAATATATCTTTTTATTATGAATGAAATTCGCTTCCGCATAAAGTTATAAAAAGATATTTATGTTCCTTAAGGAAGTTTTTAAAATATCCATTTCACACCCTTCTTAGCGCATCTAGTTATTTCACTTCCGATGACCTGGCTAGGAGAGTAGATGTATTAGATTTGGCTTATGTTAAGAAAGGTAGAGGTATACCTAAAAATACTTGGTTAGAAAATATTAGAAATGACCTTTTTTTATTAAATTTAAATTTGATCCTTAATGGGACACAATGGAGGAAAAGGATTCATGTAACTGACCCCACTACTAGGATAAAGACTTTAATGTTGTTGTTGTTGTTGTGGTGGTTGCAAAATGTCCACAAGTTCATCTTAATTATAACCTCACCACAGTCTTGATACTTAATAGGCATCCATGGTTTTCTGATAACCTTGAAAACCTGAATGGGGCTTCTTGCTTCAAAATGGAATTTGAAAGCTTCTTAGAATATAGGCTTCTTGGAATGTTGAGCTAGTTGAACTTTACAAACATTTTGTTACACAAACCCCTTTGCTATTTCTTCTATTTTGAAATTTTCTTAGAAGAAACCCTTCCCATTTCTCTACTGGGAAGGCAAAACTAGAAAGAATTGCTGTACAAACTCTTTCAAGCATATTCGATAAGTCGAACCATTGGTTTTTCTTCATGCAGTGGTGTTTCCAGCATTGTCACTGCAATGAATATCGTGGAAATGTGTATGGATCTGCCAGGAAACTAAGACTTCGTTTGGAACGGCTTTTTTATTACTTCTTGAAGCAACTTTTTAGTATAAAAATTAAAATTCTTATACTAAAAAGCTGCTTCATCAAGCAATAAAAAGCCATCCTAAACGAAGCCTAAAATTAGCATATAATCCTCCAGCTGCCGGACACCAGAAATTGCTCAGCCGCCCACTGCTTCCAGCTAGAAGGAAATTTCTAGCCACTGTTGCTGCAGAGAACCACCATGGAAAGGGATAAGGACTTCACTGCGATCTTCTCTATTCACCAGCTCTCAGAGATAAGAGGAAATTGGTGGACTGGTTGATTTGATTGGGAGTGAATTCGGAAGTTTTCTAATCAAGAGGAAACTATTTAGTAACGTTCTTAATCAAAGGGGACTTATTTATGAAAAATTTTAATTATTATTGGGAGGGAATTATTTAAGTCAACGAGATTTAATTTGAATTTAAAATCTAAGAGGATATTATTTATGGAAAATGAGCAGGAATTAAGGATGGATTGTTTAAGAAAATTTTAATTACAATTGGGAGGAAATTAATTAGGGAAATAAATCTAATTTTAATTCAAATCTGAGAAGGATTTATTTAAGGAAAGGGGGCTGATTTGGGAGGGAATAATGATAGCTTATTTAAGACTAACAATAGGGTAATCTCAATTTATTTTTGGAGTTTGCTGAAATTAGAATTTCTTAGGTTATTTGGGCTCTAGCCAGAAGCTAGGGATTTTGGAGAGCCGGATCTTCCTCTCGAATTGAAGGTCCAACTATATCTTGCTATTTTCTTTAATATATTTTGTAATAGAAATAATTTTGGTGCATTTTTCTTCCTAATTTCTTATTGTCGTTCGCTGATTTCAAGAAAAAATGCATCCCCTTTCTCTCAGAAATCCTTCCCAAACTGGCTAAGCCTGAAAACTATTACTCAAAACACTCCCTATTCTGATGTTTGATATCTTAGGCGGGATTGTGATCAGAACTTCATAGCGAGGATTTGTCTTTCTATGTAGTTATAGCTGTTGATGAGCAGTAGCTTTCATGAACTGTAGCTTATTGGAAATTTCTCCAATCTGCTGCTCCCCCCACCTCCATATCGAGTTAAGTTTTTTTTTTTGGGACATTTAGGCCATTTAAGGCAAACTCACACACACAACGCATATACAAAGACTCGAACCCAAGACCTCTTAGTTGGAAGCATAAGCTCTCAACCAACAAGCCAAAGTGAGATGTGTATATCGAGTTAAGTTCACCGTTGCATTATTTCTGGATAAAGAATGTATTTCTTAAAAATTACAACAGGCTCTCAGCCCATGTCCTGACTTATTTTGACTATGTATACAAATCAAGGCTTCATTTAGGATGATTTTTTTACTGCTTTCTAAAGCACCGACATCAAAATTATCCAATTTCTTTGCATAGATTTAAATTATTTGTAGTTTTTACATTTTAGAAATAGCCATCAAAAAAATTATTTTTGACAAACATGCACCAAATTATCAACACCCATTATCAATTGGCAATGATAACTATAATTTGTATATGTTTATAACTCTAAGATTTAGGGTTTAGTTTGGTTTTTTTTTTATTGCTTTGTTTTTCATATGAAAATCATAATTTTGTTTGGCCAGTGCTTTGTTTTTTTTTTGTTGCTTTCTTACTATTTTTTTTTTTAATTTTGTGATCGGAAAATACTTTTTACAGCTGTAATAGCTAAGTTGTTTTATTTAGAGTAACTTCACAACCAATTTTATAGAAACCTATAGCTATCTCAAATACACTCTTAGGCTTTGTTTGAGACGGCTTTCTTATTGTTTCATAAATTTATTTTTTATGTATAAAAACATCATTAAAACACGAAAAAAAAAATAGTGATCTAAAACTGTCTTAAATGAAGTCTTAAACTTCATTTGGGATGCTTAAGATGTAACATATATGCAAATTATATTATATTATATATTAAAATTTATTTAAATAACTCAAAATTAATCTCTTGAATATATATTATTTAATTGCATGATTGAAATAAGGTTTGTAAAATGTTCGAATATTATTCAAATTTGTAAATAATAGAGCATAATATAACATAATGCAATCAAAATAGTTATAATGCAATATGTTATAAGGCAAACACAAAGAAAATAATATTATTGTCTGATTTCTTTTTACTCGAATCGAGTTGAATGAACTGACTTAAGCCCATTCAATAGCCAGGAATTCTTGATGATATCGGGGTTGAACCATAAATATTAATGGTGTATTTTGGAATCTCGCTCCTGATTGCTTGGCGGTAGACAAGGTTAGCGATATCCGGCGGCACCAACCTCAAAATCTTCCAATTTCTTTGCGTAGATTTAAATTATTTGTAGTTTTTACATTTTTGAAATAGCCCTTAAAAATTTTATTTTTGACAAACATGCACCAAATTATCAACACCCATTATCAATTGACAAGGATAACTATATATTTGAACAATGGCAGGGCCAACACGTTATTAAGGATAAAAATTACAAGACCTTAAAAAATCATAAGCTCATTAAAAGAACATCATTTGAATAAAAACGTACGAGCTTTGGATCCAACTAAATATATAAGATAAAAAAGCAAGGCAAAACAAAAGATAGCAACAAGAAATTATCAGCAAACTCCAACGCACCAAAAGCAACTCTAAGATTTAGGGTTTATTTTGGTTAGCTTTTTGTTGTTTTGTTTTTCATATGAAAATCATAATTTTGTTTGGCTAATGTTTTGCTTTTTTTTTTTATTTCTTACTTTTTTTTTTAAAATTTTGTGATCGAAAAATACTTTTAACAATTGTAATAGCTAAGTTGTTTTATTTAGAGTAACTTCACAACTAATTTTATAGAAACCTATAGTTATCTCAAATACACTCTTAGGCTTTGTTTTAGACAGTTTTTTTATTGCTTTATAAAGTTATTTTCTAATATAAAAATATCTTAAAAACAAGAAAAAATGGTGATCTAAAACTATCTTAAATGAAGTCTTAAACTTCATTTTGGACGCTTAAGATGTAATATATATGCAAATTATATTATATTATATATTAAAATTTATTTAAATAACTCAATAGAGGAAAAAAAACCAAATTAATCACTTGAATATACATAATTTAATTGCATGATTTAATAAGGTTTGTACAATGTTCGAATATTATTCAAATTTGTAAATAATAGAGCATAACATAACATAATGCAATCAAAATAGTTATAATGCAATATATTATAAAGCAAACACAACGAAAATAACATTATGGAAAGAGGAATTATATTAAACAAAAGCATTACAACATTTTGAAGTAATATATTTAGTACAATTATAAAAGCTATAACAGAGACATTGCTAGAAAGTTGTTTGAACAATGTTCGAATATTGATTGAAATTTTTATGAGCTTGATATTGATCGAAACTTTTTATGAGCTTGATAGAAGCATTTTGTAGTCATGATCGAAGATTTTTCTACCATTGTTCGAACCTTATTAAAAAATTTCAATAACTTCAAATCATATTTGATCACGACCCAAACTTATTTTGATCAACTTCAAAATAAGTTTCGAGCAATATTTGAAGCAATTTGAATTGAAGTGGGTGTTGAGTGCAAATATATAATATCGCTCTATACGAGAATTTAGTTAAATTTACAAAATCACTAAACTTTCTTGCTCGAAATGTTGCTTGTATAATTCTCAAGCATCTCTTCAAATTTGGAGGGTAATTCGATCGGAACTAAACATCTAAGCTTATTATCATAAAATATGAAATAGCATACATATTTCTATAATTTTGAGTATTATAGGACATATAATATCAAATTTTTCTATATTAAATATTTTAAATCAATTAAATTTGCCAAAACATAGAACCAAGGAATATTAATGATATTCAAATTAAATTTATTTTTGATTATATGATTAATGATGTAATTATCATAAGAAGAATAATTAAGCAAATTTAAAGTATACAATAGAATATTTATGATTAATTAAACTTGCAAACATTATGATTAGCATCATAATAACAAGTCAATTAAACATATAATCACTAAGTGAAATAATTTTTATAAATCAATAAATGGGAAATTAATGAAAGAAATAAAAAATACCTGAAATTATGAAGTTCAACAATAAGCTTTTAATATTTCAAATTAATTTTAATAAAGTGTTAGTAATCCTTGAGACTATTTGGTGCAATAAAATTCCATCAACTATAATGAATCTTATTCTTAAAATCTTAAAGCTTGAGACCTTCACTTAAGGCTTAGTTTGTGATGGCTTTATCATGGCTTTGAAAGGCAGCTTTCTAGCACAAAAAATTCAATGAAAGCAATAAAAAAAGTAGCAAAAAATCACTTGGCAGCACCAAGGATTTGATTTTAGGATTTCGTAAATCCGCTATATCCGGATTTTGGAAATCCTCTAAGAGGCATAAATCTTAAAAACTGTTTAATAACATTCATGATTAATCATATTAAATCTGGTATGGCTGTTTGGCTATAGAACGGATTTGACGAGTGGACTCTTCCTCTTGAGCCAACGGATTTCATAAATCCGACAAAAAATAGGATTTCGGAAATCCGGAATTTAGCACAAAAAGGAGGAATTTTCCGTCTACGGCGGCTTTCATTAGCCTTGAGATTTGGTTTTGCATTTTAGGACGTTTGGCTGGATTTCGCTCAAATCCGGCCTAAATCCTGCTACCAAACAGCCCCTAAGGCAGTAAAAAAAACTTCTTGTTAGCGAAGAGCTCGCTTTCAGCCTGCTAAGAAGCATTCGACTTGCCCGATATGAAAATGAGTTGAGCTTGGACAAATATTTTAAACGAACCAAATCTGAATAAACTTTTATTCGATCGTGTTCAACACCTTAATCATTTGCATATATATTAGATCATGATCTAAAGAATCTATTGTTACCAAAAATATATCCTCAAATAGTTCGTATAACATATCATGCATCTAAGCAATCAAAACAATAAAACTTTCTAACCATACAAATTGCAAATAACAGGTGGGTGGACTCATCTGTAATGTTACCAGTGAAGACCGAAGCTTGATGCCTGCATAAGCGGATGAGCAAAATATGCTCCAAGCGTCAGAGCTGTGATTGTTAGATATGGTAATCTAAGGAATTCCTTGTGGTAGTCTTTGGGCAGCCTCTGCCGGCCGTCGAGAATTGCTGCAAAAGGTACGATGCTTGTTCTGCTCTTCACCGCATCGAAAGCATCGCCGTACCGTGCGGCGAGTCTCCTATCACCATTCCACACACCAAATAAGTGGTGCCCAATCAAGCCAATGGAAGCAGCAATGGCTACGGAATTACCAATCCAGAGAGTATGAGCTAAGCACCATATCACTTGCCCAACCATCTCAACAGAAGAAAAACAAAGAGCCTATTAGCATTCTATGATGAATAGAACAAAATCCAATTCAACTTTAAAAATAAATCAGAATCTCATATTTAAGGAAGATTCAGGTTTCGTTTGAGATGACTTTTTTATTGCTTCTTAAAAAAGAAATTTTAGTACTAAAATTTTGAGTTAAGAAGAAATAAAAAAGCCGTCCCAAACGAAGCCTCGGTTGTGAAAAATATAACTTTCTTTTACCTGTGGATGACGAGTGATTCTCATGATTCCAGTTTCCCAAAGATGCATTTTGGGCTTATCAACAGCAGCAACTTCCAGCAGATTAAAGGTTGATGGGTAGAGAAAGAAGAAGGAGATGAAGGATGAGAGCCAGACAAGCTGATGAACACCAGGGACACTCTGAACTTGCCACAGTTGAGTACCATCATATCTGTGATTGATGAAGTATACCTGAAGATTTCATTCCATGAATAAGCTCACAGTCGCAGCCACTAAAATAGAAGAATTTATAGCTTGGAATGGATCAGGAAGTTAGAGGGAAGGAGCAATCAATTTTATATGAATTAGAATTTGAAAGGAAGGCTTTGATGAACTTACAATTGAGCTGACAGCTAATGGAAGTGAAACCCCTGCAAACAGTACACGATAAGCTCTCTCACCAATGAGCTTCTCGAAGGTATCTCTAAGGCTTGCCAAACCACTGTGTATAACAGCAAATATGAGTACAAGAATGAGCACCACAACCTGCATGAGAATTAAATAAATTAATTAATACAAAGAATGCTAATCCAGTATAGTTAACAAAAGAGGAATATAGCTTCAACAAGAAACAAGTTAAGAAAACATAATTTAATTTGTAATACAAGATGCATAAAAGGTACTTTAAAAAGAAAGTATGTTATTAGCTCCACTAAATATGAAGAAATGAATTAGTATGGAAAGCAACTTCATTTTTGAGGAAGGATAACTAGAAAAAGACTGTCAGAGTAGTAAAGCATTAGCATAAAATCAATAATTAGAGTGATTTCTTACGTGAAAGACGATGCATAAATAAAAATAAAAGAAAAACTGTTGTTAGATATGGTTTTCAAAAATGAAGGATGTGGTGGTTGTCAACTAACTTCATTGATAATGACTTAGAAGCTGTTTCCAATGTCCAGATATTGAATTTCATTTACATCAAATTTGTGCTTTAAGCACTCACACTTAAGAAAAAAAAAAGGAAGATGATGTATGTCTTGCAGTGAATCTAGAAAAGTATTATTGTTACGTGCTAAAAATTTGGAGTCAATAGAATGCGTGTTTCACGTCTTAGCATCGTACAAAATTCAGCACGCACAAATAAAAGGAGTAAAACCAAAAAAAAAATTACATGGAAAATTGGAAAAAGGGAAAATCCACAAGGTTTGACCCAGTTGATAAAATAGGTGATACAAAAATCCCATCTTCCTCATAGTTGAAGAATATAAGATTATTTGAGAACAAATATTTGACTTTCCCTCTAGAGATTATAGAAATCAAGTGTCCACAAATGATACCAACTAACTATCTGTCTTTCTACCTTTCTACATATGCAAATCTAATGTCTTTCTTGTTTCTTCAAAGGAAAAAAGAAATGATGCACCACAATTTTAATTATGTCAATTTTGCTCTTCCAATAATTTATGCCGCATTTCTTGAAAAGAAAGGAGTCAATAATGCTTATATTCAAATCATTAAAGATATGTATGCAGGAGCTATTACTTGTGTTCAAACACAAGGTGGATTGACCAAGTATTTCCCTATTTCGGTTGGGTTACATCAAGGATCAGCCTTAAGCCCATATCTTTTTTGCTTTAGTCATGGATGTTCTCACTAAACAGAAAAAGGATTCATGTAGCCAACCCCACGTAGTGGGTTAAAGGCTTGATGTTGTTGTTGTTGTTGTTGTTGTTGAATAATTTATGCTGTCAACAAGGTCATACTATAAGATCTCAATTTCCCATAGTTCACAATCAATCTAAAATTCTCCACTCAATTAGCTACTATATTAATCTCCTAATAAATCAAGCATTATGGGTATATCATAATAGTTAAAAGGTAAATTACAAAGAACATATATGCCTTATACATAGTTAATATTAATCATATATCTCATGTGTGATTTCTAACTAGTATTTCATAACCAATTCTTTTAATTAGTGTGGATGGGATTTGATCCTACACCTTGGCAACAATTTTCAAGGAATTTTACTAGCTGAATGAACTGGCACACACATATCTCATCATTTCATGTGACATTACTTGCATCATTAAACATGATAATAAAGTAATAATATACATGAAATATGAAACTTATAGATGACAATCAAATCCTTCCTGGCCAAGAGAAATTATAGTAAAAGTGTGATTTTTTACTGCTTCTATCGTCATAACTCAAAACATCAAAAGCCCAGAAAGAAATCACTATCCATAACTCACCTCAGGGCTCTCCGAAATGCTAGAAACCGCGCTGATGAATGCGGCTCCATAGCCCGTTGACGGATTAATCCACAAAGCGTCGAGAGCAAAGAGGACGGCTCCCAAAATTACCGTGAAATAGACCCAGGAAGCGAGCTTCTGCTCCCCCAATTCGAAAGCCGCAGAGTCCTCACCGACCAGAGAATCGTCGCCAGCAGAAGCTTCCTTCACCTCCGTTCCTCCAACCGCTCGAGTCTCACTACGAAACCGAAGCAGATTTGTTGAGTATTTAAGAGTTGCGAAAGTGAAGGAGCTCCATAGATTGAGGGCTTTGGGAGATTTTGGTCGGGAAAGAAGGGGCAAAGCCCCAGCGAAGCAAGTTCTGCCTTTCGGAAATTTGGGTGAGAGGGAGAGGAAGATGGAGCTCGACAGGAGATTTGAAGAAGCCATTAGCAACCTTCGAGCTCGAGCACAGAGAGATAGAGACCGAGTGGACGACACAAATAAGACGGTTTAAAAGCAGCATCTTTGAAGATGGGATTCGGTGCGGAGAGCATTTCTTATGGTGCCGAACTGGCGGGCAGAGGTAGTGGAGCGTGCTCGTCGCATAGGTAGCGTAAGATCCAACCGTCCATATTTTTTATATTCGAGATCGTACGACAACGGCTGCCGTATTTTTTTTTTTTTTTTGATGACGAGATCCATCAGCTGCTACACTGAATTCGTCGAGCGTGTTTGACGGTCCGTAAATCCTGGCCGACCTAATGGGCCATCTAGGTCACAAATTCATAGCGGACGCTTTGAAGCCCCCACTTAAGGGCCGACTACCGCTCGAGGGAATCAAACTCGGGGTGGAGGTTCCCACCGCCGTAATATCAGAATGGGTCTTCCAATTAAAAGAAATGTGGATTATCATACATACTCCTTATTTCATTCCATGCTATTAATATATCTTATATTTAAAATTGTAATATTTTATTCTTTATGGTTCATATAAAATTTTAATATTATATTTCATTCTTATCACACATACCACTTTATAAACTTTAATATTTCATTCCATACACTCATATTTATTATATGGATAGTAGGTATGTAATATTAAAATTTTAAAGATTAAATATATAAATTACATGAAATAAAATATTATGTATGCAAACCACCTGAAAAGAAAAGGACGAAAACCATGGACTTCATTATAAATATCCTTTTTACTAATTAAAAAAAATTACTTAGCACATTTTGATATATTGATTTGGAGACATGAGCGAAATCCGGACTGGAAGAATTGTACGGACTGTTCGTGTACATATCATATAAAAAACTGATACACATTATATATAAATATATACACTCAAATATCCGGTTCGTTCTTTGCCTCCGAACTCCACAGAATAATTTCTCCAAATCAACAACATTTTATTCTTTTGATTTGACTATCAACAAAAAGATTTGATACGTAAATTTCAAATCTTATACTTCGTAGTTAATAATGAAAAATTATAACGAATAGATCAAGATGAATTATATAAATAATTCTTAATTAACTATTTACACAAAAAATCTAATTATTATCAAAAATTGTCATCTAGCTCTAAAAAAGTTTATTTTTTCACATTTTTTATTATTACAAGCTTTCTGCAAGCCGAACAGTCAATCTGCTAATAATATAAATTTGATCTATTATCTCATAAAAATCATTCAAATATTGATAACTTAGGCTTCGTTTGGGACGGCTTTCTTATTACTTCTTAAAGCAGCTTTTTAGTATAAATTTTTTCCTTTTTTAACTAAAAAGTCGTTTTAGGAAGCAGCAAAAAAGCTGTCCCAAACGAAGCCTTAATCAGAGTAACATAGAAATGATCAAAATGCACATAGCCTGAATAGTTCCATCTGTATGATATGAGCTTATTTTTTATTGAGAACATCTATAGAGCAAATAGACAACACTTTGTGTGAGCAGCTTTCTTAAAAAACATAAGATCATAGTTCTGTTATGAAGCTTGCTTGAATTCTTGAGTTCAGTGACCTCTTGAGTTGCTCAAAAACAGGACCATTTATATTAGAAAATTTTAATATTATATTTCATTCTTATCACATATACCATTCTATAAACTTTAATATTTAATTCTATACACCCGTATTTATTATATGGGTAGTAGTTATGTAATATTAAATTTTTAAATATTAGATATATAAATTGCATGAAATAAAATATTATGTATGTAAATCCCCCGAAAAGAAAAGGACGAAAACCATGGACTTCATTATTAAATCCTTTTTACTAATTAAAAAAAATTATTTAGCACATTTTGATATATTGATTTGGAGACATGCGCGAAATCCGTACAGGAAGAATCGTACGGACTGTTAGTGTACATATCATATAAAAAACTGATACACATTATATATAAATATATACACTCAAATATCCGGATCGTTCTTTGCCTCCGAACTCCACAGAATAATTTCTCCAAATCAACAACATTTTATTCTTTTGATTTGACTATCAACAAAAAGATTTGATACTTAAATTTCAAATCTTATACTTCGTAGTTAATAGTGAAAAATTATAACGAATAGATCAAGATGAATTATATAAATAATTCTTAATTAACTATTTACACAAAAATCTAATTATTATCAAAAATTGTCATCTAGCTCTAAAAAAAGTTTATTTTTTTCATATATTTTATTATTACAAGCTTTCTGCAAGCCGAACAGTCACAATCTGCTAATAATATAAATTTACTGATGAAATACACAGCCTGAATAGTTCCATCTGTATAATATGAGCTTATTTTTTATTGAGAACATCTATAGAGCAAATAGGCAAAACTTTGTCTGAGCAGCTTTCTTAAAAAAATATAAGATCATAGTTCTGTTACGAAGCTTGCTTGAATTCTTGAGTTCAGTGACCTCTTGAGTTGCTCAAAAACAGGACCATTTATATTAGGCTTCCTTTGAGATAGTTTTCTCATTATTTAATAAAACTGAATAAAATATTTTTTTAAAACTACGTAGAAATCAACTTTTTAGTATAAACTTTTTTTTGAAAGACAAAAAAAAAAAATATTGGTCAAATAAAAATTGTGATTATTATCTTAAAATAAAAAACAGTAAGAAAGTCGTCCCAATACGCAGCTCATCTTGATCTGTTGGTTGGGAGCTTTGCCTACCAACCAAGAGATATTATGTTCTATGTATGTGATATGTGTATAAATTTGCCTTAATTGACCTATATATATATATATATATACATAAGTTATCTCAATCAAAGCTTTAAGCTTCGTTTGGGACAGCTTTCTTACTGCTTATTAAAGTAACTTTAAAGTACAAAATTTTTAATTTTTGTACTAAAAAATTACTTTAAGAAGTAAAATCTAAACGAAATATTAATCACCTTACATTACTCTCACAAGTAAATTTTACAGACACAAGCTGCTTGAAGTCAAAATGGGCCATCTTATAGGGGTTTATGTGAGATAATTCTTTCACAATTCTACTTTATGGATAGTAGTTATTGCTCTATTTAGCTCTATTTTTCTGTGATAATAGGTAATTTTGTACAACCCAATTTGCTAGTGCGCTAGATGAAAGAATACTAATATCCTATATAAAGGTTTAAGACTGATCAATGAACACCAAATGCATGAAAGCCATGGCAGGTTAAAAATTCAACAATGATCTCATAATTATATGGAAACTATATTTATGCCACTAAAAAGAAGTTGTTCAATCTGATTTGAGCTCCCTCAAACAAAACAGCATTACAATACCACAAAAGCTCACAATATCATCCAAAGATGAGATGGAAGGCTTACCTCCACCAGCAAGCAAATGAAGACCACCTTAAAGAATGAACAAGCTGACAATTGTGATAAAGATTACAAGAAAAGTTGTATTAATCAACAAAAGTAAGTAAAATGTTTGAAGATAAGGTGATCTTTGATGGTACTTGTGTAGTTTCTGATGATGGTCACACAGTATTTACAGTGTCAGCAAGCGAGCGCAGTATACATCCCAGCCCAGCTTTCTCTGTCAGTTTTTCATGGATCCTGAGGCACTGATCGCATGTTGGCCGGTCACCAGTAGCCAATCCCCGGTAAAGGTACCTTTTCAAGAATAATATCAGTGGTGGCACATTGTATGGATAAGCAATGTAGTATTGTGAAAGAGAGAAATAAGTACTGGTGCAGAATACAACAGAACAAATATGTCTTTGTTTGTGATGGCTTTTTTCCTGTTTCTTAAAGCAGTTTTCAAGTAAAAAAATTTTAATTTTTGTAATATAAAGTTGTTTTAAGAAGCAGTATGAAAACTGTCCCAAATGAAACCTATATCTTCCATTTCACCGCGCCAGGTTGTGTTACAGCATGATTTGGAATCGGATTTTGAGTATTTTGGGGGGAAATTTGTTTTTGGAAGCTGGAAGAGGTCTTCATGGAGAAATAATTCTTTCTTCCGGGAATCTTTGTATGGGGATAGTGGTGGAGAGATCAGCATGAGAATTCTATTTAGAGTTTTTCCTTCTCTGCTAAGTTTTATTTTGAAAATGTCAGCCATGAATTTTATTTCTTGTATCATGTTCTAAACTATTATTTTTCTAGGAGCTATGGCTGGATGTTTAATGCTGGGATTGTGTTAAGCAATAATATTTATTCTAGATTCAAAAATAGTATAACAACAATGTAAAAGATGGGTGAATAATTCAGAAAATCAACATCAAGATAATAAAATATTTAAAGTCTATCATAGAAGAATAAAGAAGCAAATCTTTCAAAACCTGGGAGCACTATAGCAATCGGCCAACTATAACAACTTGTGGTTCAATTTATTTCAACATTAAACTAGTTTAAAACCCATTTTTAGTTTTTTTTTTAATTTTTTTTTAACACTTGTATTAAACCAGTTATTATGAACCTCTATTAAACCCAAAACCAGTCAATATAAACATCTATAAATATACCCCAAATACTGTAATTATATTCACGAAATAAGATTTTTGTTTTCTCCCTTTTCTAATCGTTGTTCTTCCTTAAGGAGTCCACACTTACTCAAAAAAATGCATTCCCCTTCTTGATGTAGATCAAGAAGCTTATTAGATTTGATATTGTGCTTTTAATGCACTGTTGAATATTTCAATTTTTTTAATTTCCTTGTAAATTTTTTGCAGTCAATTACTATAACTTGAATTTTTTTGGAATAACGAGGTGACAAACAAATTTATCATGATTGAAATACCAAAATCAATCATAAGATCGAGATATCTATTATTTGATTGTACTATTTGTGTGATTACTATTTTCCCAAGAATTTACTGCATTGGCATGTATAAGGTTTGCATATTGTAAATTAATTTTCTAAAGTTTGAGAGAATAGGAGAGAGTATCATCAGATCTGATCACAATAATTTATTTTCCATGAATTGCTTGAGTAAATTTATTTTCAAATAAACATTTTGGTGAAATCTAACCCTTAGACCGCTCTCCTAAGACAAAAATTTTCCAAATTAATTATTGTTTATAGCAGACCATGCCATAAGCGATGTAGTTTCTTCTCACCTAAAAGTTAATTCAATTTTATATTTCAAATAAGGCTTTTGTTAATTTAATTTTGATAATTAGTGAAAATAAATATTTATGGAACAATATTCTTACTCTATTATAGTACCTATGCAATTGCGCATTCTTCTATGTATCAATTTTACCTAACACTTCACAACAGAATAGTGTTACTTAATGCAAAAATCACTATTTGCATGATGCATAGCTATGATATTAATGTTCATACACTTTGTTCCCCTAACAAGCTCTCTCTCCATAATATTTGATGTATATTTCTCAAGTATTATTGCACTCATAAAGTAAATAAATGTTATCATTCTCTTACCCAATACTTCAATACTTTAGCAATCATGTTTCTTTTGTGTATCGATTTGATCTAACGCATTGCAACAGAATGGTATTGCTTCATGCAAAAATCTCTATTTGCATGATGTTACTGTGATATTAATGTTCATACATTTCGTTCCTCTAACAATCTCTCTCGTTGTACTATTCCATGTATAATTCTCGAGAATTTTTGTACTCATAATGATGTAGAACATATATGGGGGGAGGGGTCATTTGAAATTTGAATTTCAAACTAAATGGAAAATGGAATGAAGGGGCACTTAATTAATTCCTTAAATCAAATTACGTTTTTTTTTATAGAATTAATTAAAATAGGAGAGAAATTGGGGGCCTTAATGGAGAAGCATTAATTAAGTAGAGAGAAGAGATTGGAGAGAGGGGGTGGCGGTAGAGAGAGAAGAGGGTTTAGGGAAAGAGAATTAAAGTGGGCCTTGATTGGAAACCTAAATTGAGGAAGATTAATTGAAATCAAATCCAATCAAAAATTTAATTGGACCTAATTTAAACAATTTTCCTAATTTAATTAATTTAAATCAAATCCTAATTTAGGAAATAAATTCAAATTCAAATTAATTTGAATTTTTAATAATTCGTTATCAAATTAAGATGTCTAATATAGGAAGGCTTTTGATACAAGATGAAATTGTGGGAGGCTTCCTAATTAAGGATTATCAAAGAGGAAACTATTTGAAATTCAAATGGAGAATTGATTTCAAATAAAAACACTTTTCAAATTGATTTGAGCTATTTTAGGAAGGTAATTAAGGGAGGTTTGGATTTTGAAATTCAAAATTCATGGAGGGAATTTGAAAAGAGGGGTAAGGCTTAGGAGGGGGATGGGGAATTTTGGTGGGGAAGAAGAGAGGGTTGTGGGAAGAAGCCGGCGGGTTTGGTTGTAGGGGAGATGAAGCCGGTGGGATTGGAGAGAGGATGGAGATGACGATTAGGAAAACCGTGAGTCTCGGACACTTCCAAAGATTGACGGGTACTGCGTTGCCCTTCACCATAGGACTTCAACCACGAGCCCGAACACATCCTGCAATTGGTGGATATTTCATTTCCTTCATATAAAGACTTTCACTCTCATAAGAACTCCTATCTCTCTCAAGAACAAAGTGTAGGAACATTATTATTTTTTATTAATTCATAAAACCATTACACTTTTAATTAGGACACAATGGAGAAAAAGGATTCATGTAGCCGACCCCACGTAGTGGGATAAAGGCTTGATGTTGTTGTTGATGTTGTTGCATAAAACCATTACACTAGCAAGGGTCTTTATATATAGGCCTTAAAAATAAAAGAAACTAAAATGAGACGATCATGTCCCTAGGGCTTACATAAGATGAAACACTAAAGGATAAAAATGAAAAATGCATAATTAAAATAAAAATTACAAATAAAAATTTAAGATAACATAGGACGATCACGGCCGTCGATCTTCATCTCCTCCTCGGATAGGCATGGACGGTTGGATGTCCGTATCACATAAAGTATATAGATGTTATTACCCTCTTACCCACATCACATTTCATGAGATCACACCTTCATTTTCTCTTCGTTCGTCCTCTGAGATGCCTTCACTATCAGATCCATATTCCACCGACAACTCTCATTGCAAATAGCTTAAGGCTTAGTCATATTGACTATTTATAGTGATCATAACGACATCCTACTCACTATGAGTGATCATAATGATATCTCTAAAGTAAAATGCTACTTACAAAATTATTTGATCACAAAACATATAAAATGACCTAAAAACTTTTTAGGCTTGATTTGCATACAACAAAAAGGAGGTCTCCCTTTCTAAGGTGAAAAATGTTATTATTATTTCATAAAATTGATCTTCTTGGTTGAAAACCCTATAGATATGTTCTTGGTTGCAAAGATGATGATATGCCCCTATGATATGCATATCACTTCAATTAACTAGGAATTCTTAAATGAACCGTCTCAATAGTGCTCAAAAAGTCTCCAGAAAAAGGATTATTATACTAATAGTGAACATTTAAACATGCAAGCATTCTCATTCTTCGATATGTTGATTTGTTGAAGATAAGAAGTTAATTGAATATTTATTTTTGTTAGAAGTAAACTTATGATCTGGAAAAATAAGAAACAAACTAGTATGACAAGATTCAATTTTGAGGTTGAATATAAAGTTATGGCGCATTTTGCATGCGAATGAAAATACTTTCTTAAGAGATTTTGATTTTTCTATCGCACAGCATTTTGCATGCGAATGAAAATACTTTCTTAAGAGATTTTGATTTTTCTATTGCACAATATATGATTCTAAGCTGTGACAATCGTATTTCTATCTATAATGTTTGAGTTTATTTTCCTCAATTTCAATTATATTATTTCACTCAGTTTATATTAAATTCCTTAGGCTCTATCTTTGACCAAACTCTTACAAACAGATGCTTTCTTCACTCAACTTTTTAAGCCTTCTGTGTGTTAACTGATAAGTTATTACAAAAGCTGATTAGTCGGCTCCCAATCCATTATCCTAGTACAGCAAATATTCATTTTCAGAGCTCCATCACAATAACCATTGGATGAGCTGCTCCTCTTGCCATTAGCACCTTGCAAGCATCTTCATCTTATTGAAACTGTTCGTGCTTTATTGTTTACTGCTCACCTCCCCACACATTTCTAGCTTGAGGCACTATTAACTACTGCTTATCTTATCAACAAGCTCTCTTCCAAAATAACACATAACCTCCCACCCTATGAAATGTTATATCATCATCCACATGATCACAATCAACTAAGAGTCTTTGGTTGCTTGTGTTGCCCCTATTTTTCTGCTCCACGGCTTCAAAAACTGCAGCCACGAGCTTAGCCTTGTATCTTTCTTGGTAATGCAAACTCTACAAAAGGCTATAAATGTCTTAACTCAACCATGGATCGTATGTATATCTCTAGTCATGTATAATTCTTTGAATCTATTTTTCCATTTCGAGGTACAAAATCTATCTCCACTACTTTTAGTCCTACTACCTCACCATTGTTTCTAGTCCCTTCCACATGCTCTACTTTTAGTCCTACCACCTCAACATTGTTGCTAGTCCCTTCCACATGTTCATCACCTTTCTTATCAACAGATACTATGCAACATTCCTCCCCCACTAGTCCTGCAACTCCTCCATCCAAAATTTTCCCAACAGCAGCATCTAACACAGCTGAAACTTTCCCCTCCACACCTCCTACTGCACCTTCATCACCTGCCATACTCTCTCGGCATCCTATGGCTACCCGTTTCCAAACTGGGGCCTTATGACCCAGACCAATCTTTGATCTTCAATACTCTATCATTTCAACAACACCTGCATCATATTCTCAAGCTGTAAAACATGGTGTTTGGAGATCTGCTATGTCTGTCAAGTTTGAAGCCTTACCAAAACAAGGCACTTGGACTCTTGTACCTTATACACCTGATATGAACATTTTAGGCTGCAAATGGTTATTTAAAACCAAATATAATTCAAATGGCTCACTTGCTTGATATAAAGCTCACTTGGTTTCTCGAGGTTTTAAACAAGAATTTGGATTAGATTATTATGACAATTTTAGTTCAGTTACAAAATTTCCAAACATCCATATTCTTTACTCTGGCAACCGCCTATAGGTATTCTCCTATTGATGTTTCTAACGCCTTTCTCCATGGCAAACTAGATGAGACTGTTTACATGATGCAACCACCTGGTTTTCAAGATTCTCAATTACTTAATCATGTTTGTTTGCTATAGAAACCATTTATGGTAGTAAACAAGCGCCTTATCAATAGTTCTCCACATTGACAACTCATCTTTTGCATTATGGTTTCGTGGTCAACTCAATTGATCCTTCATTGTTATTTTATCATCATGCTTCGATCAAGCTCTACATTCTTATTTATGTAGATGATATTCTTTTCACTTATAATGATGAGACAGTTGTTGCAAAATTACTTCAAAATCTTCACAACATGTTTCTAATGCATAACCTTGGCCCAGTTTCACACTTTCTTGGCATACAGGTTACAAAAACTACTGCAGGTCTTCATTTAAATCAGACCCATTATTCTACAGGTTTACTTGAAAAGACTGGTTTGAGAGATTGCAAACATGTCCTTACTCCTTTGCCAACAAAATTACCCACTGTTGCTACTAAATCTGAATCGTTTTCTCAACTAGAATTGTTTTGGCAACTGGTTGGTTCCTTACCGTCGTACCTTACAATAACTCGACCGGACATCTAATTTGTTGTTAATCACCAATGCAAACACATGCATAACCCATATGCCATTCTTTTTCAATTACTGAAATGAATTCTACATTATATTCGAGGCACGCTACACTTTGGACTTCCTATTTCTACTTCCTCACTTGATATCCATGCCTACTCCGACTAGGATTGGGTTGCCAATTCCACTGACCATCGATTATAGACTTAAAAAACAAACTACAGTAGCTCTATTTTCCATTGAAGTTGAGTATCGAGCATTGGCTAAAGCAGCTACTAGCATTATTTGGCTGAGACATTTCCTACTGGAATTTTAGATACCAATATCTCAACCCACACCTTTATTTTGTGGCAACAACTCTGCCATTGCATTAGCCAATAATCTCATATTTCATGCTCATATAAAACATATTGAGATTGATTTTCACTTCATCTGTGACTGCATCAAACTTCAGCATATCACAATTCATCACATTGCTTCTCAAGATCAGCATGCTGATATCTTTACTAAATCTCTTAGTGTCACTCGCTTTGATCACTTACAAAGCAAGTTAACAATTCATGAAAACATTGTTAACTAGAGGGGGCATGCTAATCGATAAGTTATTACAAAAGCTGATCTGTCGGTTCCCAGCTTCACTATCCTTATGCAACAAATATTCCTTTTCAGAGCTCCTTTACAGTAACTGTTGGATGAGCTGCTCCTCTTATCATCAACACCTTTGATTTCTAACTGACTCTGATCACTTCATTACTATACACATTTTTATATATAGACCATTTGCAATTAGTGAGAGATGAATGAAATACAATATATTTTCCTCTATTCTGTTTTCTGTTGAGTAGGAATACTATCTACTATTACCCTTCTGTATTATGCTTCCAGGAATGTAAACAGCAATCTGTAGTTTTCTACACTGTGATCATGCTTCAAGTTGAAATGGACAATATTTTGTCTTTAGATAGGGACGTTTAGATTGTGTCCCCCCCTTATGTGGTCATTGACAAAAGATTATCTTTGAAGGCATTCAGTCATTTTGGCACCTCTTGCAAAAGTTTTGGGCACGACCATTCTAATTACTTTAAAGCTCAACCTGAACCGAGAAAATCTTCTAATATTAACCCAAAAAATCAGATTCAAGGGAACTAGAGAAGCATGGAGTAACCCAACTCTATTATCACTTGTAGCGGTCCTAGTGGAAGCAATTCCACCCCCTTCAGCTTAAACATGGACACAAATTTTGAAATAAACATTTGTTGGATTTATCAAATAGAGCCATCAGATCTTACCCTTGCTATAAGTAGCCCTAAGGAGGATATCATTATTTCATTTTTTTTTTTCATAAGAGCATTATTATAGATCCTCCAACTGAGTTAGCTACTCTTCTCACTCCTATTGAAGAGGTTGTCATTGCCACAGATTATGACAGCTTTTAAGGTTTCGTTTGGGACGATTTTTTTATTGCTTCTTAAAGTAACATTTTAGTACAAAAATTAATTTTTTTACTAAAAAATTGCTTTAAAAAACAATAACAAAGCCGTCCCAAACGAGGCCTAAATCATATATTATTTTACCATCTATTCAAGCCCGAGTCAATAGAAAGTTTCATATCCAATTTTTTCAAGAGGGTTAGAAATAAGAAAAAAATTACAATCATTCTCCAATACTCAAGGTTACAAGCCATATACCACAATTGAGAGCTTGCATTGGATATCTTCACCTATTAGATGGATATTTTCTACTTTGTCATCATATTTTTTGAATTGTGTCATGTAATTATAATATATATATATATATATAGAAGTATTGTTATTGTATTCAAGATTTTGTTTTGTTGAAGAAGATTGCGTCTTCAGTTCAAGGTAAGCAAATAATATTTTTTATAATTAAATTTAAATCATTTAAATATTAACAAAAAGGAATATGCAAGAATACGTAAATTTATTTTGCGTATTTACTACTCAATAATACTCCCAACTAAAAAATCAAAGAGAGCTTGTAATACTGCTTAATTAAATGTTAAGTATGTTTCTTTTCAAAAAGTAGCCAATAACCAGTGAAAGCGTAAAGAAGACCATACTTCATGAGAATGTCGTAGTACTCCGGGTCCAGAGAAGAAAACATGCCATCCACATCCCTAATGGCCATCATTGCCCGATGCACCACAATCCAGTTAGCCGACTGCAATCAAAGAAAACCCTAATTTAGAAGATAATCCCAAAGCTTAACAAAAAGAAAACAAAATTGAAAAACTAGAGGAAGAAGTAACGCCAACCTTGCACCGCTGATCCTTGGTATTCGTTGGAGACACCTCCAAAGCCGTCTTCAGCGCCTCAACCGGCTTTGATCTGAGCATTTTTCAAGAACAACAGGCTTTAAGTCGAAAACCAAGCAAAAGATTCGAAAAAATAGAAAATTGTATTGGTCATTGGGGTTAGCTTTTCGATTCACTTAACTGCTTGAGCAAATTCTCAATTTTCTTCGACTTGTGCTCTATCCTCAAGATCATTGCTTCGATATTCTCCTCCTCCATCGCTGCCGCAGCTGCCGTGCCTATTGTTCTAAGCAGAGATTTGAGGGATAAAAATAGCAGTAATTCAATTTTAGGGGAATTGATCTGATTCAGAAAGGGTAGTGCAAATTAGGGTGTACAGTTGTCCTGATCTGACAAATTTGCTCCGATTGAGATTTTTCAAACTGGGCCTGTTTGGATACAGGATTTATGCAGGATTTGAGCAGGACTTGCGAAAAATCCTGTCAACAGAATTTGACAAGATGTCTCACGGCGAAAAAAAAATGGCTGCTCAAATCTCACAGTAAAAGCGGTGAAAGATCGTTACCTGCGCGGCGAGCTCCCGTCGTCACTTTCGATCCGACAACGACTTTGTCGAAGGGTGCGAAGCAGCTTTGCTTTAGCGACTCTTTGGAAAGCAGCAACGGAGACATGGAGATGAGTAAAAGCAAATCAAAGAGCAAAGAAATATACAAATAATCACATAAAAGAAATACATAGGATTACTAAAAAAAATTAAGATTAATAAATATAATAATATGTATAATTTAATAACTTTAACTAAGATTAATAAATAATTAAATTAGAATTTACATTTTATTTATTTAATAATTTAAATGATTTAAGATATTAATCTATAATAAGTATGATTAGATAAATCATTATTATATAATATATTAATTTTTATTTGGAAAACCCCTGAAAAGGGGGAAAAAACCCCGGGGCCTAGCCCAATTTGAATGAATCCATTAGTATAGCAGTTGATTACAAATGAGGCCCTTCCTTGAGGGAAAGCCTTAGCTTGATGTACATCTTATAGAGTACATTACATGATGGGAACACAAAGAGCTAATGTTGATGTGTTCTCTTTGTTGGAAGGACTATAGTCGGTGGGCAACATAGGTCAGGAGGATGGCGACGGAGGTCGGGAAGACTGTACTATACGGGCGACGTAAATTAGAAGGATCGTTGTCGGCGGGCGATGGAGGTCGGAAAGACTGTAGTCTACGGGCGACGTAAGTCAGGAGGACCATAGTCGGCTGGCAACAGAGGTCGGAAGGACTATAGTCAGCGGGCGACGTAAGTCAGGAGGATCGCAGTCGGCTGGCGACGGAGGCCGAAAGGATTGTTGTCTGACGACGAATGTTAGAAGGACGGCGTTAGGTAGAAGTCCAACAATATAAAGAAATTCATCTTTTGATAGATGTCCAGCGAAAGTCCGATAATCGGTAGAAGTCCGGTGTCGGGTAGAAACTTGGCGAAGATTGAAGCTCCGGCGTCGGGTAGAAGTCCAACGTCTGTTGGTGGTCGAGGAGAACTCCGGCATCACTTGGGCAGAATTTCGGGGTCATGAGGGAACTTTGTCGTTAATTGGGAAGAATTTTAGCATCCCGTGGAAGTTGGGCAGAATTCTGGAATCCCGTAGAAGTCGGGCAGAATTCTGACGTCATTTGGAGTTCGGGCAGAACTCCAACGGCGGTCGAGGAGGAGTCTCTTCCCTCATATTCTTCTCTTCTTCTTCTCCTCCTTCTTGCTTCCCCCCTCTCTCAAGAGAAATGAGGGGTCTATTTATAGATTTTTTGGAGTAACATGGCTCGTAAATAGATGATAGATCAAGGGCAAATGGGAGTGGTTGGACGGACGGTCGATACTGAATCCCTTGATCGTGTTCTTCCCTCCTATTCTTCCCTTCTTCTTCTCCTCCTCCTTCTTGCTTCCCCCCTCTCTCAAGAGAAATGAGGGGTCTATTTATAGATTTTTTGGAGTAACATGGCTCGTAAATAGATGATAGATCAAGGGCAAATGTGGAGTGGTTGGATGGACGGCCGATACTGAATCCCTTGATCGTGTACTGTTCGTCAGACATTTGAAGGCCTTAATGATGTCGGAATTCGGCGATCTTGGGCTCGTTGGATTTGTCTCGTTGAGTCGCTCGATTCGATTATAAGCTCGTCAAGTTTGGAAACCGTTTGGTAACTCAAATTGTGGTACGAACTTTCTAATAGTGCTTTCGGTCCTTGATTTGGACTCATTTGGGCTCGGATTGAGTCGAATTTGTTGTCGTTGGGTTCGTATTTCTGAGACGCCCAGTTCAACTATAAGTTTGCTGATATCAGAGATCAGATGATCCCGGATTTAATTTTTGAAGTTTCCAACTTGATTTTTGCCTCGAGATTCGTGCCCGATCAAGATAATTTTATGATGACATATCAATAATAATTATTAAAATCTTATTTTAGCTAATAGACTTTAAATTTTGAAATAAGCATCCATATAGTTTATTAAGATTTAACTAAATTTAAACTCTACAATGCCAAATAATTCTCAAGATTTAACACTATATGGATTTAGCAAATTCGGATTTATAGGATTTACTAAATCCTACTTCAGCTAAATGCTACATGTATCCAAGCAGGTTTTATACAGGATTTCTGCAAAATTTATGAAAAATCCTATCAAACGGAATTTGAGTAGATGTTAAATCTCACGGCAAAATAAATCCTCTATTTGCATCTTTTTGTCTTAGATCTGATAGTTCAGTGGATTTAGGGCATCTCCAACCGAAAATCTCATTTTTCACTCCAAAATACAGTGGGACCGAAAAATGTCGTGATTCATCTCCAATCGAACGCCATTTTGCCCCGTAACCGTCGTTCGCGTCTTTCTTCCACAAGTTCGATAGAGACCAACAAAATTACGGAGATGAACAGTGCAACGCCAATATTGGCATCGCACTGTTCATCCGCGATCAAATGACGTGAAAAATGACTGTCGGTTGGAGCAAAGCAAGAACGACAAACAATAATAAGTTGTTGAGGGAAAATAACTTTAACTTAAAATGACTTCAATTATTGATAAATAACTATAATTTCATTTTAATTTAAGGTTGTTTGGTTTGAAATAAAAGAGGGGTAAAGTATTCTAAATATAGAGGTTTTAAAAATATTATTATTTGATCTAAAGTAAAATTTTAAAGTATTTAGAATTTACTTTATAGTTCAATTTTAGTGTATTTAAAAGTCATTAAATTTGAACGATTTTCAAATGCACTATAATTTTTTTTTTTTTAAGTTGTGACTTGTCTATCCTGTGAATTGCTCGTCGCCAGCCATTGACCACTATCGTTATTGTCACATCTTATTGTCGTCACTGCAGCTGATACCAGCTGTCATGCGCCGTCGCAGCTGATACCAGCTATCGTGTGCCACCGTTGCCGAGCACCAAGGGCTGCTGCTCATTGCAACCCCTGGCTATCATTATTAATGCTTGTCACTTATTGACTATCATCATTGCATCTTGCAATTAACCTTTCATCACTATTATTGTTGGGCTTTACATTTAGTTCATTTTATTTGAAGCCAAATAAATAAAAAATATATTCGTATATTTATTTTACAGTCATCCCAATAACTTTAAATATATAAATAGACTCGTATATTATATTCATTTTATACTATATTTTATTTTACTTGCATTGTATTTTTATTCTATCAAATATCTCCATACAAAAATTCTTGCTCGCTTCATAAATAAGAATCATTGCAAAGAGAATAATCAAAAGCACTTTACAAAGAACAATCACTGTTTAAAAAAAAAAAAAAAAAAACTAAAGTAAAAAATTGCAAGAGAGCTTGCCCATCTATGTGGAAGAATTCCTTATTCCATATACTAATTAAACATTTTAAATTATTCATTCTTAGGTAGGGGTATAAGTCAATCAAGCCGAGTCTTGAGCCGGCTGAAACTCTACTAGATAAATGATTCTTGAGCCAAACTTCATGAGCTAACAAGCCAACCTTAAGTTAATCTTGACTTGACCAGTTAGCTCGCGAGCTAATTTATTTTAAATAATTTAATATAAAATACACTTAAAATATATTAGCATTTAAAATTTGAAGTATAAAGTTGTTAAAAATGTTTAAAATTTTTTTATCAAATATTCTTATTTTAAATGGCAAACTTTTAATTTTCTTTTAATTTCTCATTTCTTTTAATAACTCTTCAAATCATAATTATTTTTTTTCTTCAATAATAAATGAGCCAGCTTGAATCTCTTAAATAAAACTAGAGCAAGAATTTAAATTCAATTAATTAATCATTTTTTCAGGCATTTGTGTAATTTAAATATCCTCTAATTATAATAAACTAAGTCAAATTGAGTATTATCTTATTTTAGAATTAATTATTTATTTTTATCGAATTTGAACTGAATGTAAATATGATTTCAGTTTTAAATTTTATTTAAATGTGTTTATTTATTTTTTAAATGAGTTTGAGCATAACTAAGCTAAGATCAAGTCTACTAACCATAAATTTGATACTGGTGATTTAGATATAAATATGTTATTGATAAATATAGATGAGTTTTTGAGATTTAATTAAAATTGATATAATCGAATAAATATTATAAAAATAATTTAATCATCATATTTAATTATTTATTTGATATTTATATCATATTTGATAATGTTCAAATGTTAAAATAAATAGAATATAAAAAAATATAAAATATAGAATAATTATTTATCGACTATGGTCCCCCCGACCTCTATCATCTATCAACGGTCCCCTCTACCATAATTGCTCGACTATGACCCATTCGACCTCCATTGCTCGACTAATACGGCCTCTCCTACCACCGTTACTCATCGACTATGATCTCTCCGACCTTTATCACCTGACAATGGTCCCCTCTACCACAGCCGACAGACTACGGCCCCTCTGATCTTCGTCGCCCAGCTAAGGTCCTACCTACCAAACAAATATGCCAACATTCTTTGGAAAATAAATCTCATATTGTTGAATTCTTTCAACTTGTTCCCACCATGAAATGTGCTCTATATGATGTATATTTGCTACATTGAGTTAGGTCTTCACCCGAGGAAAGACATCATTTATAATCGACTACAAACAATAGTATAATCATTTTGACTAGGTCAAAACCCTTGGTTTTTCCTCTTTTCAGAGTTTTCCACATAAAAATATCAATGTCTCTTATGACTCTTGCACTCTTTTTTCTTATTTGTGTGTGCTTGATCTTCCTACAAAATTAGGATGATAAACTCTATATCTCTCTTCCGCTGTGAATGATCTGACACTCAACAATATTTATGCAAATAAATTAAAATCAAATATATCGTATAAACTCATAAATTTGTCATTGTGATAACCAAAGTATATTTATTATTATATTTTAAAACAATTATCATGTTTGATGGCTCACTTTCATACTTATGTGCATTCATATTATCTGTATGAGCTCTGAATCATCGCATATTTTATGAATTTTCATTGAGCTATCAAACTCTATCTTGCTGATTTTCTTAATTAATCTTTTTATTTTAAATTATTTAATCTTATCTTTTTTAGTGGTTGTAATGACCACAAATGAACAGAAAAAAATGAAGAAATTAATTTTTTTTTAATTTCAGTTAAGGACTATTTATTTCATTAAAACAATGGCTAAT